AGAGGAGGGATCCTCCTCTCTCCAGTTGTTCATTCCGGATGATCCCGGGACATTTCTGCCTCAGGCTCCAGCTGCGGGAATGTTTCTCACGGAGAAGATAAACCACAGCTGACTATGAGCATCCAAGAGAGCGAGGACCAGGCAGACATGGGAGGCAGAGCCAGGCTGGCTTAGGGCCTGGAGGTGGGGCTTCCTCAGGAAGCACTCACGCATGCACCTGGGTCTCCAAGCAGTTGTGAGTCAGTCTTCGGTGTCACGACTTTTGAATGTGTTTCTAACATTCATTTATTGGAGACAGTAGTGCACAAGAAGGAAGGAAATGAGGTTTGTAGCCTCATCATAGAAACCTCTAGAGGCCTTTCTACCCAAATATCCCATTAGCTGTGGCAAGAGGGAAGCTCTCTGTGTTTTCCAGCTCCTAGAGGTGGTCTACATTCTTTGGCTGATGGACCCTTCCAGCATTTTCAATATGTCTCATTCCAGCACCTGTTTCCCTTGTCCCATCGTCTCTTTCTGACTCTGACTCTCTTGCTTGCTTCTTCGAGGGGCCCTCATGGGGCCCATCAGGCCCATCTGTGTAATCCAAGAAGGTCTGCCTATCTCAAGGCCCTTAACTTGTTCAAACATGTCAAGTCCCTTTCGCTGTATGGTAATATATTCGTAGGTTTGAGGAACGGGGTGGGTGGGCATCACTGACTACCAGAGACAACACCAAGGCAATCAGGAGTATTGTACATAAAGACAAACAAGGCCACCTTTACAATGTCAGAGCCTAGATCAGCGTGTGGAGGGTGACAATAACGTTGTGCCCAGACATTGCTTCCCAGGGCAAGACTGGCACAGAGGAACATAGAGAAAGGGAGGCAGAGGACAGGTTTTCAAGGACCACCCTCCATATCTGTTCAAGAAGGGAAGTGATCATATGGTGTGATGGGACTGTCTAGTTTTGTTTGCCATGAAAAAATCTGGGGTCCTTTTGCGACCTCCTGCTCAAGTGTCCAGGTTACACTTCCACTTCTGCTTCTTCCAGGAGTTTCCCTGCAGGAAGAAGACGTACTTGTCAGGCCCACATTTGAATCTCGTTGATGTCATTAATGTCTTGTGAGTTTGATGCAGCGATAAGTCAGGTGTGGGCAAGGCAGGAGCGCTGGGCTACAGGGGAGTCATCACAGTGGTGCTGCCCTGGGAAGGCACCTCGGGGCCTGCCAGATGGCCCCTCCCTGACAATGCCTGACAATCCTTTGCAGACAGAGACTTCATTCTTAGTCGTGAAGGGAGGAGAGGTAACGTTGACTTTTCAAGACGTGCAATTCAGGCCATGAGTCACCATAGCTGTGACTATTTTCACTCCAGCTTTGATATCTATGTTTAGTAAGCAGACTCTAGGCATCCCCAGGGACTGGGTCTAGGATTTCCTGTGGACCTCGCGTTGCCCCCACCATTTTCACGTCTTTTACATACAAGGAGACCTGATTGTGTTAACCTATGCACGTCCTTTAATCTGCTTACAATCACATCTAGGCTGTCTCAAACACTGAGTGCAGTGTAAATGCTGCGTATAGCACACTGCATTGCTTCAGGAATGGTGATTCGAAGGAAATGCTCTATAGAGATATTCTCCCTCCCCAGGTGTTTCCAAATAGCAGCTACAGAGCCCACACATTTAGAGGGATGAAAAGGCACGAGAAGAACTAGATTTCCATCTAGGAGACAGAGTTCTGTGATGGTGGCACAGCTGGTAGATGGGTTCCAAGTTCAGCTCCATCTCTGACCTTGTGTGAGTCAGCGGAAGCATATTTCCATCTCCCAGTCTCAGTTTTTTTCTTGATCTAAGCTAATAATTCTAGGCCCTGATTTACTCTAGAGCCACCCAGCGGGTTCTTGGAGAATGTTGTAGCCTCTAGGGTCGAGAATCACTGTCTATGAATGGCAGTCAGCATCCTGTCCAGATAATCTGCCATTCCATGAATTGTATGGAAGTTGTTAAAAGAAATCTTGGTCTAGTTTTGCTGGAGGCGTCTGACCTCTCTTCTGAGTGGCAAATTCAATCTGGTGAAGAGATAAAAATTGAGCATCTATTGCCTACAAAACACCAAGTTAGATGTCTCAAAGATTTCCAAACTCAAAGACCTTTCCTGCGTGGTCAGCTGGACAGACAGACGTCCACATAGTTGTAAGCATATGGGCCCTGCTCCTTTCAAACATCACCATCCTTATGTATTAAACATAAAATTCTTTTAGCTCCTATTGAGCTTCTTTTTCTATAAATTTGAGCTGTATTCTTCATTCCTATTATGTCAGACAGGGGTGATTACTGCTGAGACCTAGGAACCAAAGCAGTCTGTCTATTTCCCTATCTCGTAGTCTTTAAACCCAACCTATCCCCTGTGCTATAAACCTCAAAAGTAGAATGGTGTCAGTTTTCATTCCTGAATATTTCTCAAGAACTTCTTATATATGCTAGGTACTATCCTAAGAGGTTTATGAATATCAGTCACTTACTCTGCAAATGACCCTGGGAGATCAATGCTATTTATTTCCCATTTCACAAGTGAGGCCAGTAAGGGAGAGAGCTAAAATAATTGTTCAAGGTCTCTCTGCCGGTAAGCAAGGAACTGAGACTCAAACATCGAGCCTGTCTTAGACATCATGACTTTTACCACATGGGCAGATCCTGTGCTGTCTGTGAAATTATCTTCCGGCCTTCACACTTCAAATGGAGTACATGGGGGAATGTTCCCAGTAACACGTTAGTTAAAAATTAATAGGAAAACCCCTTACATAAACATCATGATAACAGGTATGAAAAAATCAATGCAAAACAAAGATCACTAAAAATGACATGTAGTCAAAATTAAAGGAAGGAGAGAGTGAAATATTTGGGGATGGAATTACAGGGGCTTTATTTTCATGAGTGTGGCCTGTATAATCTCCTCCTCTACTGACAAATAAACGCTCTTAACCTTTGCCATCAGAACACATGTGACATCAGAGTTGTGCTATGTGCCAGGCATTATTCCAAGAGTTTAATGACTATTAAAATGGTCCTTCGAGATAAACATTCTTTCCTCATATAGTTTTGGTTTCAGAAAGAGGTAGATCAATAATTTGATATTGAGAATATACTTATTTACAGAAGTAATGGTATCTATAGTGAGTGATTTGATTATTTTTACTTCTGAAATTCCAGAGTTTTTCATTGATTTTTATTTTTTTAATGGATACATAAGAACATAGATTGTGTGCATTGATGAATGTCATTTGGTACATCATTTCATTGATGCAGATTCTTTTGTAAAGTTATACTTTATACTCACAAGTTTAGCACTGCTCTGAGACCTTTAACCTGGATTGCCTTACTTAGTGGGCTAGGAAGTGTTGTTAGCCTGTTTTTACAGAGACAATTAAGCAAGTTGCTTGATAGAGGGAGCAAAACTGGAAGCTGGTCCCGGAACATGTTATGACCGAGCCACGGGGTTTCCAGCTTCAGCCCATCCACCCAGACATGGACCCCAGATATGGCTGCTCTCTCAGTCTGCAGTTCCAGCCCCACCCACACCTTCTATTAGGACTTGACACTGACCGCTCTCCCAGCTCAGTCAGTGTCCATTTTCCTGGGGATTTAACCTAGCCAGGGAGCATTCTTTGTAGGGAGAATAATTTTGCATTCCATCATAGGTGCTCAAAAGCTCCTTGCACAACCCCTCCCCCCCCACACACACCCAGTTCCCTTTGCCAGCCTTCTCTACGTAAGGTCATTTGTGGAAAAAGCATTTCTCTGCTTCTCCCGTTGGGGTGACCACAGCTGAAGGGCCACTTGTGACAACTTCAGCTGGGCTTTGTCCTCTTGCTTCACGCTGTGGAGACACCTGGTCCCTCTACCTCTGGTCAGACTGGGGGTATTCTTTATTCATGGAAACAGGGCCTTCAACCGCTTCTGCCCACTTGAAGGGATCTGTCAGTACAAATGCTTGTGGACTTTTTTTGGTATGTCAAACTCAGACAAGGAGAGAATCCCAACCACCCACTCATGTGCACCAGACCTGCCTGAAAGAGCACCATCAGAATATCCAGCATTCTTGGTCAAGGTCACGGCACCATCTAAGAATGAAAAGAATCGTGCTAGCATATTGGTTCCAGCCGGGGTTTTTATTTTGGATTCCTGTCCTTATTCGAAAAGCACCATTTAATCCCCTTTTGGGAAATGCCACCCTCTATTTCCGATTCTAAAGGACAAACATGTCTTATCACTACCCTCTGCAGCCTAGAATTGGACTGGCTCAGCTCAGGTAATAGGGAGCATAGCAGAGCTGCTTGTGAGATTGATGGACGGGTGCTGTTACAGTGTGCAATGTCCCATTGCCATACTACAAGGTTGCAATTCTCCCAGGCTCTTTCTGAGAGTTAATACCTCAGATGCTTAGAGAGGGAGGAATTGGGTCCTTGGGTTGTAAGGCGAGGTAGTCATCCATACCCCTCATGAAAGATGCTATCAGTATCCCACACATGGGTACCTCAGTTCAGAGCAGAACTATAAAAGGCAGAAGCTTCTTGTAGCACCTCAGTCCACGGCTTACAGAGCGAGCTGTTCCAGTGCCTGAGCCAGGTAGAACATCTCTCAGACCAGAGAGACTCTGGTGCTGATTTTCTGGGCAGAAAGGGGCTCTGGGTGGGGCTGAGAGCATCTTAAAGATGAACAAGGGGAAAGAAGGGTTTGGAGGGAAGGAAGGGTCCATCTGGAAATGGAAGGTAATAAAAAGTTATGATCAGTACCTTCTTGACCTTACAATGAATTCATTTGAAAAGGTGAACTGCCTACATTGGGATCATCTGTACTTTTTATTTTGGAAGTGAACTTGGGAGGTTGGGTTTTAAAATATCTAATCACCAAAGAGGTAAAATACTGTAAATTCATCATTTAGTCTTCAAAGCAACATTATTGGGTTTGCCGATCATAAAATTCTTTCATTATTTTTCAGTTTTATCCAGTTCCTTTCAAAATGTCCTGCCAGCAGAGCCAGCAACAGTGCCCACCTCCTCCTCCTAAGTGCAAGACACCCAAGTGTCCCCCTGCTCCTTCCTGCTGTGGCTCCAGCTCAGGGGGCTGCTGCAGCTCTGGGGGTGGCAGCTGCTGTTCCAGCCATCACAAGCCCCGATTCTCTCTCCGTCGCCGACGTCACAGCTCTGGATGCTGTAGCAGCGGTGGCAGCAGCTGCTGTAGCAGCGGTGGCAGCAGCTGCTGTAGCGGCGGTGGCAGTAGCTGCTGTAGCAGTAGCTGTGGTAGTAGTGGTGGCGGCAGCAGCGGTGGCGGCGGCAGCAGTGGCGGCAGCAGCAGCTGCTGTGGCAGCAGCGGTGGCAGCAGCGGCGGCAGCAGCAGCTGCTGTGGCAGCAGCGGTGGCAGCAGCGGCGGCGGCAGCAGCTGCTGTGGCAGCAGCGGTGGCGGCGGCAGCAGCGGTAGCAGCAGCCAGAAGTCTGGAGGTTGTTGCTGACCCGGGGAAGAAGACCACGGAGAGCAGTGCTGACGAAGGAAAACGGGCCAGCCAGAGTGTCTCCTCTTCTCCAGCTTTCCTGCAGAAACACTTCTATAATTCTCTGTTTCCTTTCTTCATCCCCACAAAGCTCAACTACCGTGAGGTTTTGAGGTCTCGCGGTCTCACCTCTGAGTCTCATTGGCTTTACTTTTTCTCTCAGACACAACAGTCTGGGGATGAGATGTTAAAACTCAGCTCTGAAGCACTTTTCTGGTAACAATAAAGCTTTTGATTCCTGATGTCGTGGCCTCCCAGTACTGTTTTGTTTAGCCCTCCCATCTCACCCTCCACATCGAGCAATATTCCCTTCCTTTATCTAAAGTGTATATTGTGGTACGGAATCCACTTAAGAGCCCTGGGAAACAGCGTTCACTTAGGACTCTGGACTTGGAAACTTCAAACATGAAAATAAGAATCATGTCTGAGATCCGTGCCCCTTATCAGTTTGCCAAAGTGGAACTAGGAATAGGATGAGATGAAGCAGGCAATACCCAGAAAAAAGAAAAAAAAGCAGTTTGAGAGGGTGTCCTTCAAAAGTGAGCAGCCAGCCGTTTGGAAACGTTTTCCTGATAATCGTAGAGAGTAAGATTTCCTGAAGTGCCCATTGTGGGCTCTAGTGAGTAGGCACTGCTTTCTGGTGATTAGTAGTGGGCATGCAGGAGATCTGAGTGGAAAAGCATTTCGAGAGGAGAAGCTGAGAAGACAGGTGTGAAATGATGGAGTCCACTTTGCTTGGACTCTAGAATTTTAGGTTTGGGTCTGAATAGAGAACAAAGACATCATCTCAGTCAAAGATTGTCCCCACATGGTGGTGGTGGCCGTGTAGCTGCTGCTGCTGCTGCTACTGGTGGTGGTGGTGGTGTATGTATGTGTGTGTGTGTGTGTGTGTGTGTGTGTATAAAGGACAAGGGTACTTCAATCACTGAGCTTGGGTGTTGATGTAATATTCCTCTGGGATTGGGATGGTTTCTTCAGGAAATATTAAAAGTGTTTGTGACAGGAAAGATAATTACAAATCAGCTTTCCTATACAAGATAAGCAGCTAGTACCTCCTTTGATCAGAGTTAAAACTGTTGTAAGCTGGAGTAAGGGGTCCGTTCAGTGAGCAGTTACTTGATCTCTCTTCATATCGATTCTTATCCCCCTGCTTTTTTATCACCTTTTGCATAGTTTTTCAGAGGGGAACCCACCTTATTACCTCATGACTTCCTTCCCTTTTCTAACATTGATCTCATTTCTTGGAATGTCTTACCTCTCGTTGGCGAGAGGTACTCTAGACACAGTAGGCAACCTGTTAATCAGGCTCTAAAGCCAGGGCAAAGGAAACGGGTATCGTCGATGACTTGTCTTTCCTTGTCTGTTTCCTCATGTCACACCCAGCACATACATCCCAGTGTCTGTCTCTCACTCTCAACCCCTGAATATTCATCTTAGATTCTCTTGTGTCTCATACTCATGGTTGTTGTGGCCAGGTAGTTGTGGTGATTGAATGGCAGTTCGAAGGTACCTAGCCTCCAAAGTGTCCTCCAGTTTTAAAAATCAGCTCATCAAAAGCAGTAATTACTGAGGGGACTTTGGGGCCATCTGTTTGTTTAATCTCCTCCTCTTCCTTCTTGGCTCTTTTATTTTATCCTTTTCTTTTCTTTTTCTTCTTTGTTTGTTTTGTCTTTTCCCACAGTGGCAGTAGTCCCAGGGAAAATCTATTCTTAAGGGAGATGAGATCAGAAACAGGAGGTCCACGAGTAGTTTGCTATTTTTCTTTCAATAGGCCCACATCCCTCACCCATTTTTGTCTGAGATTCACCAGTGACTTCTTTTGGTCTTAGTGGTCCTTTAACTTTGCCTGAGTTTCTCTTCTTGTCAATAGTGACAGGAAGAAACCACCAATGGGGTTCGATCCCCCACCGTCATCTTTATTCAACTCTCCCTAGATGCATTTAGACAAACCCACAGGGTTTATCACACAGCCTGCAGCCTGCCACACAAGACAAGAATCAAGGGCCATAGAGATGCAAATAAGACAACACATGATAAGGAGCTGGCTACACATGAATGGTGTGTGGGAAAGTGGAATGGTGCCTGTGTTCTCTTACCCCCACGACATGGTGCGCGTGTGCGCGTGTGCGCGTGTACATGTATTGGGCACCCGCATACGGCATTTAAGATAGCAGAGAGGACCCCAGACCTCTCTTCAGTAGCGCCTCAGGCCTTCTCTGAGCATGCACACAGCCCTCCCAGCTATGAACAGTGTCCTGTTTGGAAAGTAAACACACCACAGCAATCCTGGCACCTCTGTGGAGTGACTTGGATATCCACGTGCACCACCTACAGTGCTACCTGAGTGATGAATGCCTCTGGGATGTAAGCATCAGCTGAGCACATCTGTTGAGAAATGGGCCCCTCCCAGGAACCTGAACTTGTCGGAATCTTATAAAAGGTTCTCTGGCCATGCGCTGTTCAGTCTTCTGCCTAACAGGTGGCAAGTTCCAGTTGGAGAACTGAGTGAGTCTTCCCGTGGAGCCAAGGTCGAGTAAGTATCCAAGCTGGGTCTGGGGGAGGAAGCTGGGAAGAGAGGAAGACAGAAGGGAGGAGGTAGGGCACATCTGGGAATGTAGCTGTGGAACGACAGCTTCTAGTGGACCAGCCTTTCCAGTTGCCTATGAAGATGCAAAGGTCTGTCGTGAGCTGAATTTTGAAAGGTTCTCCAGCCTGTCAAGGAGTTGTGACTAGAGCCCAGGTTTTAGGCTCCCTAGTTATGTTATTCTGGTTCTCTGCCATGACTAGGCTTTTCTTTATTATAAGGGGAACAGGCAAGAAAGAATGTGCAGGGCATGCGTTTGTGTTTTCAGAGTCTCTATACAGAAGAGGGGGTGGGAAAACAGGTGGTCGCTGGGTGTTTTCTGACAGATGCGATGGTCATACATTAATGGAGATGACCACTTGAAAGGCTGTGTGCCCCAAGTACAGTGGGGAAAGGGCAAGAGAAAGAAGACACATTGTAGCCATATCCTCTTTCTTTTCTACCATGGAAACCTTGGACGATCTTTATACCAGTTAGGGAAACTGCATTGATCCTTTGTATATTGTTTCCGGTTTTCTGCCTCTGCCACCCACCTGAAGCAGCTTTTTGGGATTTGTTTCTTTGCTTCCCTTCTTTTCTTTTCTTTCTCTCAACCCTCTTGCCCCAAGCCAGACTTTAAGTCAAGTGCCAAACATTCTGACTTCCACTATTGGAAAGAAAAGGCGGGCTTTTTGAAAGGTTGTCTTTCTTACAGATTCGCCTTGACAAACGCAGCGATGTCTCAGCAGGGCGCCAAAGGCTTTTCCAAAGGGTCTTCCCAGGGCTCAGCCCCCTGCTCCGCCCCGACGCCCGCCCCCGCGCCCTCCTCCTCTTGTTGTAGCCGCGGCTGCTGCGGAGGCGGCGGCTGTGGCAGCTGTGGCTGCGGCGGTGATTCTGGCTGCTGCGGCTCCAGTTCCACCGGCTGCTGCTGCTTTCCCAGGAGGCGCCGCCGACAGCGCACTAGCGGCTGCTGCTGCGGGGGAAGCCAAAGGTCCCAACGCTCCTGTAACAACCAGAGCTCAGGCTGCTGCGGTGGCTGCTGAGAGTCCACAGAGCTGCACATCCTACAGCGGCCCCTCTGCTGCTCCCACCCTGTCCTCCACAGTAGCAACAGGCAGGATCAGTCTCGGAGATTGGTCCCCCTGAAGCTAACTGCACTTTGATGCTCAGAAACCTCACCCTGTTCTCGGCCCTGTCCCCTCATGCTTATTTTCCTCCCAGGGAATACAAAAGTCAAGGGTGGGACATCAGACAATGTTATGGGCGGGGGCTTGGGCACAGCAGTGTTGAAAAATAGATCTACTTATTTGATTGTCCTCCGAAGACGTCACAATAAAGCTTCTACCTCTTATGAACGCTTCTTTTCTTCTTTATTCCTTTCTCCGTGCCTTCATTTTTCTTATTTTATTGCCCTTTATACGACTTCTTAAAGGCTCATGCCTGAAGGAGAACACACCGGCTGCTCTGTGTCTTCTAAGGATTCTGCGTCCGCAGCCACATCTACTTTGTGTAATGACTCACTGAAGTGGGCGCTGCTGCGTCCGTTTTTTACTGAGGGGAAACTAGCGTTAAGCTCTGAGTCACTTCAGTATGCTGGCAAGAAGGAGGTGACTGCGAGATTTCAAAGAACGTTCTCCTAATTGCTCTGCTTAGGTTGATCTGCCCTGAGTTGTCAAAACCCTTGTGTTCCTCCCCAGAGCAGCCCCTGTGTCGGCCCCCACCTCCCGCTCAGCACCCTTTCATTAGGCTCAGGTAGCTGGGGACTATGATTTGGATTAGCAACTTCTGAAGCTTTGAATTCAGTCCCGCTGAAACTTCTTTCTCTTCTTTCGGGTTTCATTCTGTTCCTTCTTATCTATTTCCTCTCTTTCTTCCCTTCTTTCCTATCCCTTCTCCTCCCCTCCTTTCCCCTCACCATCTCCCACCTCACAAAAACGCCCAAGTTTTCTTTTTCTGGTGGTGGAAGACCATTTACCTTTGCTTAGCATTTTCTGCACCTACCAGGAGCCAGGGACTCTGAGGTCTGATCTATGCAGCTGAGGCATGACCATGAACTACAGATCTCCCCTTGGCTATGGCTGTCAGACTGAATCACACTAGCATAGGAAGCCATATGAGCAGAGAGTTTACTGTTCATTCTAGGTAAGACCCCTTAGCCTAGTGTCTTCTAGGTTCAGAAGGGATGGTATAATAATGGTAACAATAACAGCACAAAAATAGCTCACATTTGCTGAACACTAATTTTGTTTCAGACACGAAGCATAGCACAGAATGTGTGTGTATGCACATTTAATTCTTAAAAACCTCAAAAAATAGTTTTTAATTTCCTCAAATTGTAAGCGTGAGTAGACTGGCATTCAGAGACGTCGAGGAATTGGCACAAAGTTTGACAGCGAGTGAAGGCTCCAGGTCTCTGATGGTGAGTAATAGGAATGTGACCTAAACTGAGATCTGGAGCCATCAACGTCCACGGAATCCACTCAGTGTGATGCCCGGCTGCAATCTTCAAACCACCACCACCCAGAAGAAGGGACACTCGGGCTTCTGGGGACACACCCAGGCTCTTAGGAAATTGTCGCCTGACTGCTCTCCCTCAGTGACCCAGCTACTGTTGGGCTCTGGGGTAGCATCTGCCCAGAAACCAGCCTCTGAAGGCGTTTGCTCAGAGGCCCAGTCGTAAGTTCACCATTGACTCATCCACGATGTGTAAAGCCTAGTCCAGATGGCATCCCATGCCCGGGCACCTCTGAAGGACAGCCCCACTCTGCCTCTCACTTCCGGCTCTGAGATTCTGTAATTCCTAGGAGGCAGGGCATCGCACGCGCTGTTTACAAATAGATGATGTCACTGAGGACCTGCCTCCTCCACACTAGTCAGGGATGTGAAGCAACAGGCCTCGTGACTTGTTGGACAGCCAGGCAGGAAGGGTGGGCTTGCCTGACTCAGAACATACTTGGAAGCCAGTGTGAGGATCAGAATAATACAAGGGCTGAGTTTGGGGAAAGAGAAACGGTGACTCATTAGGAGACACATGAATCTGTAGGAATGCATGTCCTTGAACACAGGTGCATTGATATCCATTAAATGGCCAGCCGTGAGGATGGCAGTTCCCCTGGTTCCCACATACCCATGGAAATTCAGACGTGTGGGAACTGTGCAAGAAAACACAAGGTCATAGGTTCTTCCTTTCTAGGCAACCTGAGGCTTTGGGTGTTTAAGGCGTTCTTCCAGTCGTAGTGACGCTTGGCCATTGTGTTCACTAGAAAAGAAACTGGAATTCCAGCTGCTAAGATCAGTCCTTCACTGTGAACGTGGCATCCTTTTACTCACCACTTAAAACTGCTGCAAACCATGGGTTCCCCGTTTCTGGGAAGAAAACTAAAGCATAGAGCTATCCTGAGATGGCACAGTTTCTAATCAGAGGACAGAGGTTTGGACAGGGCGTTTCTGACTTGGAAATCATCATTATGGACACCATTATTGTTGTACTATGCACTTGTGATAAAGCTTGGATGAAAGGGGGAGAAGGAATCCAAAGGATTAGTGGCACTAGAAATACATCTCTGAGAACATGTCCTCAGAGGAGAGAGGACAGACCAGATCACTAGTAGCTTCAAACGCGTGTTCTAGGACTTTTAATAGTGTTGTGTTTGTGGCATAGAAAAATGGTTCTTAGAGAAAGGTTTAGAAAGACAAACGTTGACCTATAGAACATCCACCACAATGGTGAGGATGCTCTAGAAACATGGAAAGATTATGTTAATAGGCAGCCACAATGACCCAGGCTTGAGATAGGGATCTGGACCTGGTATTGGGCAAGCAAAGGAAATGATAGATGGGAAAGGCATTTGCCCAGAGAAAGTAATTGATAGAACCGGGTACAACATTGGGGCTTTTGGAAATGAACCAACTGAGGTGGCATCGGAGATTTGAACCTGGTCAGTAGGAGATGACAATAACAATGACAGAAAAGTAGAGAAAGAAAAGGTGTGAAGGAGGAAGAGGACTAGTCCCAACGGTGATATGCTGAGTCTAAGGAGCTTTTGGGACATGACGGCAAATCAGTGAGATGGGGGTGGAAATGCAGATAATCTTTTAAATGTTTCCACAACATCTGTATAAAGACTCTGTGGAGGTGGGATCCCAATCATTGGCAACGGATGTGATTTCACTTCTGTAATGGAAGTTATGAAGAAAAATCAAAAAGAGACCTGGCATGACTTATTCAACACAGAAAGCCTGTGTAAAAAAGAAAACTGGACCCTCGAGATGTCTGATCAATATGCATTTGATTAATGAGCTGGCGAAACAGAAGCCTAAAGAGTGACTTGATGGGGATGAGCAGGAAGGAAGAAGCTGAATTCTGAAACAAAGGCAAAGATGAAGCCAGAAAACGCTTAGGCAGCTCCTCGGGCGGCGGCTCTCAAGACTTAAGTTCTGGAAAGACAGACTGAAGAGAAGGGAGCAGGGCAGAGCAAGGCTGCAGAAGGTAAAGGCTGTTGTTTAGTGAGGTTGTCACATAGTGCCGTCAGTCTTCCCACCACTAAGCATTAGACAGAGCAAGACGTTTCATCTGAGGGGCAGAAGTTCCTCCTCAATTTGGTAGAACGGGTTAAACAGGCAAATTTGGTATCGCAGTGAGTAAGAGAGAAAAATCCTCTCTACTGTGGATGACGATGCAGCGGATTCAAATGATTTGGCTGTGATAAATCTGAGCCATGCCAGTTTGCCTCGGGATAAATGACAGCCCTAGGAAGGCGAGTCTCACCTCCTCTTATAAATACTGACCAGGGTGAGGACAATGGCCTCTAATCTATCTTATTCAGTGATGCACCTTGTTAAGAATGTGGATAGAAGGAGCGGGGAGTTGGTTCCATAGAAAAGAGGAACTGAGTTCAAATCCCTATCACCTCTGTAAAGGACACCAAGAAGCAAAACCTGGGTGTGGCTATGCACGCCTATAACCCCAGCACTGGTGAGCAGGGACGGTTCCTAGGAGACCTAGGGGAAATGGTCAGCTTCCAGCTCTCAAGCAGTAAGAGGAAAGCAACAGGGGAAGGCAATGGTCATCTAGGTCTGGCCTCCACACACATGCGTGGATGCACACATCCATACACTCATGTGTGTACCACACATGCACCACAGCACCCACACACAGAGAGTGTGTTGGTTTTTATTGTCAATGATCTATCTATGTCAGACCTGCTTATTTGTGAACTGAATTTGTAGTGGTAAAAGCCCCCCCCCTTTTTCCTTGCTTCCCCCGCAAAGACTGTTTTTCTACCAGTTTGAAGTAATTATATGCACTGGAAAGCTAGGAGGAATTAACCCCCACCCTCTCTTCTATTCACTTACATGATTTTTCGTTCATTCATCATGGTAAATCTTTCAATCATTAAAGTTGTTTGATTGCTCACCATATCTGTGGCACTTTTAGGATGCAAAAAATGTCTTAATGAGAGAATTCAATGCAATGTAGTGTGATGAGGGATTGACACTGTCCCATGAAATGAGCACTACACAGAGATGACAGCTCACACTGACAAAAAGCATTGTTTGGACTTAACGCTGAAGATTGTGTTGGTCAAGCTGAGAACACAGAAAAAAATATTTAAGTTGAATGACACCAAGGGTGAGGGCAGTGAGATGAATCTCTGATTTATAGCAAACAATTTTGCACGGATGGACCTTGAGGAGTTCAGAGAAGTGAGACTATCCACATAGCTGCTCAGAGAACAGATGAGGTAAAACATCTGGAGCCTTATCCTACAGGCATGGCTGAGCATGGCATTATGAAATATAGTATTTTTATTTATTTTATTTTAATTTTTATTTAATTTCCCATGTGTATACAAAGTATTTTGATCATAGCTAGTCACCATTCTCCTTACTTCCTTTTGCACTGGGCCTCATCCCCAACACATCCTTCTTCATGTACCATTTTTAAATTTTTAAAAAATAACCCACAGAGTCCAATTAGTGCAGTTTACTTGAGTATAGTTGTGGGACCATCCACTGAAGCATGAACTGTTTACCAGCTGCTATACCCTCAAAGGAAAATATGATTGTCTCTCTCAACAGCTCCTCAGCTAGGGATGGGGTCCTGTAGCCCCTCCTGCATCTATGCTGGGATTCTGACTGGCTTGATCGTGCACAGGTGACCACAGCTGCTCTGAGCTTACAAGCCCAGGATAACAGCCTTTTAGAAACGGTTAGATTTCTCTGCTCTTTTCATACATATTGGAAATACCTTACCTTAAGGAACCAGAACACCAACATCTTCTCTTGCTACAGCTGGTCTTTTTTTGGTATCTTCTCCAAATACCAAGTGTCTTCCACAGTTTGCCATTCTTTACCATACTTGACTGCACTGACCAACTCTTGTCCCACCAACCACCATGCAGTATCCTATCCTATCCTATCCTTCCAGTCGTTAGTCACCAAAGCTTCTCTCAGCTCTGCATCCCGCGCCCTTTCTCATTCCCAGAGCCTTAGGCCTTCTTAGGGAAGTCAAGTACTTCCCACTTCTGATCAAAGCTTACCCTTCCATTCTGGAGCCCGCATTTCTATCGGTTCCCCATCCGTTGGTTCACCCCATCCCTCCTCTGCCTCTCCCATCCTAGTTTCTCTTTTAAGTCTC